TCCAATAATTGATATAATACATGGACATACATTACAATGTTATGTGTGTTATAGTAATTGATATAATACACATATAACATTACAATGTTATATGTGTTCCAATAATTGATATAATACATGGACATACATTACAATGTTATGTGTGTTATAGTAATTGATATAATACACGTACACACATTACAATGTTATATGTGTTCTAGTAATTGATGTAATACACGGACACACATTATAATTTTATACGTTTTTGACCTGTTTTTATTTATTCCATGAACTTTGACCTGTTTTTATTTAGCCTCACATGCACATATCTGTTTTCTTCTTTTAATGTGATTTATTTTATGTTTCCTTTTTTCTGTTGCTCTTCAAGCATTCATTTAATTGGTCATTTTCTTTTTGGTTCTCTCTGTCCCCCCCCTTTTTTTATTTATTTTGCTTATATGTGGGGTACTGGGTGCTCAGGCGAAGGGAACCGCGCCTACTTGTAACCAGTTTAACAGCTAGTCCTTCTTGTAGTGACAGTGTGCCATCTTTAGACACCAGTCTGAGACTCAACACGGAATTGGTGGAGACCTGTCAGGACATGCTTGTTCGCTACACGTACGGAATGTGCTCCACTCTACCGAGAAGGTAAGTAAAGGACTTTAAATATGAGTTTAAAAAGACTAAAAATATATTAGGAAAAGGGACTTTAGAGAAAACTTTTCACTCTAACAGTAAATAAAAACCTATAACAAAATACTGATATATAATGGGTTTTTTTTTACGAGTGGTTCACATTGGAAAAATTGGATGTTTGTCAAACAAATATGCAGAAAACCTACATTTTTCTGGATAGTGAACGTACAAAAACTTGCATTTTCATATTACAACCTATTCTTAAAAGTTGACTGGGAGGCCTGTAGTTAACATGAAATGTTATTACAAATCAAGATCAAACTGAACATCATGTTGAGTGTTGAACGTCAGTAGGGAGGCCTGTAGTTAACATGAAATGTTATTACAAATCAAGATCAAACTGAACATCACGCTGAGTGTTGAACGTCAGTAGGGAGGCCTGTAGTTAACATGAAATGTTATTACAAATCAAGATCAAACTGAACATCATGCTGAGTGTTGAACGTCAGTAGTAGCTTGGATTAGAACATGTTTTGCTGATGGGTTTTTTTTTGTGATAAATCCGTTGTTCTGCTCCGATCTTGATAACTTGTACAGCTTTAGGTTAGATCCTTTTAACTAATAGCTGTAGTTGTGTAAAGCTGAGATTCCAATGTCAGTTGATTTGAAATAGATATTGAAGTTACCTTTTTTTAATTTTCTTTGTGAATTGTTTTCATGCATTGATTTTAAATTTGGAGATAAGTATTTAATGTTTAGCGTAGTTTCAGTAGAGACCATTAAAACATCCACATAGCGTGATAGGTAATATAGAAAACTTTGTTCTCGCTACTCATTTTTAAAATGGAAAGTCGTTTAGGAATAAAATCATGAAGTAATCGCTTCCAGTAGTCTTGTATCTAAAAATGATACATTTAGACTGGCGGCTTTAGAAGTGTGTATGTCTAACTTCAGAACCTAAACGTCACAATTTATTTCCTCACGATAAAATGCTCGCTTGTCTACATCATGAGTTTTTAGTATTGCTTTAACCCTCATTTCCTGTGTAATGCTGTCAGCTGAATACAACATTTTTTCTGTGAAGTTGTCACTTAAAATAAATATAAATGGTGTGTACATAATAAATTCTGAGTGTGAGCTTGAAGCCCAGACTTTAATTTTTTTCATAAGGTTTACTTAATGATAATTTTCCTACTTCTGGTTATTAATGATGATAAAACAACGAAATACTTTTGTTAGTATTATGTACTTTTAAATATAATTGGTTATTTTCAGGTCACCTGTCAGTCAATTCCTACTGGAGAATGGCCAGCAAAGCAGCTGGTTGTTGGGCACGATGCTTATCACAATTACAACCAGTGGCTGTGGCACAAAGACATTTAAAAATGGAATGTGTGATAGATGTTACAGGTTGTGTAAAACTGACTCTGACGACAGACCAGAATCGGGTGAGAAGAATGAAGAATTTCTTCAATCATACGTTACACGTTGAGTTCAAAGAAATTGATATTATTTACAGATTTGTTTTATCAAAAAGTCCTGCTCTGCTGATATCTTATTATTCTTTATTTTTCCCCAAAGCTGTTTCTCTCCATATGGAATAATAACTGCTTGTTTATTTGTTTATTCTATGTGAAAATATTCCAACCAAGTAGCCCCCACTTCCAGTGGCTCAACGGTAAGTCTGAGGGCTTTCCACATGAAATATCGGTTTCAGTGCTCACAGAATAGCTAACCTGCTTAATGACAAACAAACAAACAAACGAGTCAAGTATTTCAAGCATAGTTTTAACAGCAATGTTTAGTCTACCTGTGTATCTTTATTTTAAATGTATGTTGGTATCGCGTAGGATGTAGAATAAATAACTCAAATTTTGATTAGCACGGGTTTTGGGGGGTGTCGCAGAACAAGACACAGCAAAACACAAAATATAATAACCCTACTAAATTTTACTGAAATATATTAAGAGTGGTAACCTCCTCTCTCCCCCAGTTAAACATGGGTGCTAGAAAATTGCCTGGCTACTCAAGTGGATTGTAAGTTTGGAATGTTTAAGATCCCTTGGTATAATGGATCTAGCATTCGGCAGGATCAATCCAACACAAACTTCAGCTGAACTTGATGTTAAATATTTTAATATAGGGTTTGCAAGAGTTTGTAGTCCTCTCTATTATATATATTTTTAGAAAACTATTACTAAAACTAATGATGTTCCTGTTTTATTACAGTCCTTATAGCTAAACACTTGTGTGTTGAAGCAGGAACTAGAGGTTCTATATCAAATATAGTGTTGTGTTCCTGTTTTATTACAGTCCTTATAGCTAAACACTTGTGTGTTGAAGCAGGAACTAGAGGTTCTATATCAAATATAGTGTTGTGTTCCTGTTTTATTACAGTCCTTATAGCTAAACACTTGTGTGTTGAAGCAGGAACTAGAGGTTCTATATCAAATATAGTGTTGTGATGTTCCTGTTTTATTACAGTCCTTATATCTAAACACGTGTGTGTTGAAGCAGGAACTATAGGTTCTGTATCAAATATAGTGTTGTGTTGTTCCTGTTTTATTACAGTCCTTATATCTAAACACGTGTGTGTTGAAGCAGGAACTATAGGTTCTATATCAAATATAGTGTTGTGATGTTCCTGTTTTATTGCAGTCCTTCTGAAACTAATGATGTAGTGTTACAACTTCCTAAACGTAGAATTGAATCTGTACTTTCCCAGGAGTCTTCGTTATTTCTGTTTACTAGAAGAATTGATGTGTACAAGAAATACGTCTTTTCGATAAAATAAATCTGCCAATAATATCTTATAAAACTTGTTTAAAAGTGGTTGTACGTACACTTAAGTACTTCAGTTTTCATTATCTAGTTTTAAACTATAACCTTCTGTTGTTTCTCTACGAAATCGAAACTACAGGTAATGTTCCTGTGCAGAAAAGTCGAAGTTCGGGAGAGATATTGTCCTCTAGACGGCGACACAAGTCAGCGATTCAACGAAGCACTAGTAGTGAAGTCAGTCAGCACAGTTTGCCTCAATCTAAAGATGACATTCAAATTCGACATCAATCCTTTGAAGAGATTTCAACCAGGTTTGTATTTTGGACCCTAAAATGTGTAGTATCAAAGCTTTTTTTAGGTCTCGGAAAAATGATGAAATTATGCTTTGCTGCAGATGTTTTTGTTCGACATTCCGTTTATATTAGTTGTATACGAGTTTCTATTAAAGCAGAAATATGTTAAAACTACCACTGTTCCGGAGCCATTATGCTGAACACCTTAATCCATCAGCTGGGTTGGATTAACTCTTTCGCGATGGGCTCCATATAAAATACACAAGTTCGTATACACATTTACACATTTCAAGTATTTATACTATGACTTTTAATGCAGTTTGTGTATCTTCACAAAATTTGGTAAACGTTTAGTAAACATTACAAGTCTTTTGTACACAAAAAGTCGGATATTTTAATGAAGATTTGTTTGTGAAAATATCGAGTCTGTTTTGTTACTAGTCTGAGTATAAAGTAATTTTCATTTAAATTTTGAAAATAACTCGCTAAAAGACTGTGACGTTTAACATAACAGCAAATGTACAACGTTTCAACAAGGTTTTGTCATACTCAGTTAGACCCACCTGTCGCAAAAGGGTTAAGGCAACCAGAAATATATCTGAAATGCTACTTGTATTGAATACAAAGTAATAAATTCAGAGAATTCATATAAAAAGGATAATTAAGAGGGATGTGAAAATGAAAAGAACGCGTGGTTTAGCATTATTTAGGTTTAAGATTGTTGATTCTAGTAAATCTAATAAATACTTAAATCATTTTTAACTTCTACTGTGCTAATCTAAAGTTCTCTCTTATTTTGATATTTATACACACACTCACACACACACACACTGTTGTACATTAGGAGCTAAAGAGACAGAAAAGGCAAAGTAAACAACTCCAAAAGTACATGAAAGAGAGAATCTTACAGAAAGATTATACTCAATTGGGGACAACAAAACAACTCTTTACTAGAAAATACAAAGAGACAATGCAACCACTTGTGTTGTGATCCAACTTTTGAAATGTAGATGTTGGAATATGATGGTTTGTTGATGTTTCAACAATTAAACCTTAACACAGATCAAGTTCTCATTGTATGAGCTTTGTACTTATCTGAAAATCTCTCTAAACACACATACACATACAGTGGCCTGTGAGAAAAACATGTTAACATCAGACTGTGGTACCAGGAATTTGATGTTAACCTAGGGATGTCATACGGAAGTATAAAATAGACATTGTTTTTTATTTCATTAGTTAATACTAGCTACGAGTTATAAACAGAGAGTGTACATTTTTAAGGAACGGGGGATGTTAATATCCTCCAGTTTTGTTTTAGTATTACTGCAAATTTTCTGAGTGAAAGCTTTATTGCAGGGGGACAAAACAGAACGTGGAAACGAAAGATAGTACTCAACATTCCTCCACTTGTTTACAGCAAGATGCAGTTACAGAAGAACAGAACCTAGACAGACTTGTTCCTAGTAAGTCGAGTACCCTTCAAGAAGAAAACGTTAATGTCTTCAACCATTAGGCTTTAAAGACGAAGACTATTTAATTACAAACTTTATCATTTAATTTAAACAAACTTTACTAAGTCCACGTAAGTTTTTAAAGATATAGGTTTTGAATAACTTGTCTCTTCAACATCTTTATGGGTTATTTAGAGTGTGATGTCAATTTTAATACATGCATTTTGAATTAGTGTTAAATTTGTAGAAAATAAACCCACTTTTAAAAATATTTTATTGTGACAAAAGTTTGTTTGTTTTTTTAAAAATAGGCTTAAGAGATGGTCAGAAATCATCAGAGAAAGGAACCTCTCAACTCTGCAGCTGTTGGTGCCAAGGTTGGGCAGAAGTCCACATACGACGTCCTTCGGGAAATATCTCTTGGATGATGAGGATACAGAATGCAATGTTTTTCCCGTCGTCACCTCCAGTGAGTCTTCATTAAATATGACTTATAAACATTCTATTTAGTTGAGGTCCCTAATACAGGTAGAAGAACTTCCTGAAACCATGTTGACTGGTGAGAGGTCCCTAATACAGGTAGTAGAATTTAATCAAACCATGTTGACTGTGAGAGGTCTCTAATACAGGTAGTAGAATTTAATCAAACCATGTTGACTGTGAGAGGTCCCTAATACAGGT